AAACGTCAGCCTCTCTGCTCCTATGATGCTGCTTGGCCTGCTGTGTTCATCCAGCCCTGCACCTTGTTGTCTCGGATTCTCCAGCATCTGCAGTTCCTATATCTCTGAACTATTTTTATAAATTCAGTCATAACCAAAACACATCATACATAATCTGTAGTGGTGTTTCCAGCTTTACCCTTCTCCTTGGTCTCTCAACACCCATCTCCCCGCCACAGCCTCCCACATTTTCCCAAGAGCGCAAAATTACAAAGGCATCTGTGCAATATGCACCTGTTAAAACATTGTGCTGAGGTGCCGGTGTTGGACTGGGATGAATGAGGTCAGAAGTCACACGACACCAGGTTACAGTCCAACAGGTTTATTTGAAATCACAAGCTTTTGGAGCATTGCTCCTTTGTTAGGTGAAGGTCACCTCACCTCTGAAAGCTTGTGATTTCAAATAAACCAGTTGGATTATAACATGATATCATGTGACTTCTTACCTTGTTAAAACATTAACTTTAAACTTTTACTATCTGCTTCCAGAGGCTCATGTTTGCCTGTGGGAGCATTAAAGACAGTTTTGATGGCGTGAAAATTTTCACCACTGAGACAAAGAACGACATTCTTATATTTTACAATTTGACACACTGTTTATCTTATCAAGGCTTTGTGTAACAAAGGAAACATCTCATTAGAAGTAGCTATTAACTCATGTACAGAGCCTCAGAGTGTGTCACTACTCACTATATTCCTTCTGCCAAAGCAAGTTAAACAATGCAAAAAACATATCATAGCTTCAGAGAATGATTTCACTGCAGATGCACACTTTGTATTTGAAGATGTTGAATTCAGTATTTATAAATCTCATGTCTCAGGTTAAACAACAGCAGATTTGATGATAAGATTTCTGATGGTTTGGCAAAATGTCTTCAGTTACCGAGCTGCAACTGTGTGAGATGCTTTCAGATCTCACATAATTGCAACTCAGGATAGATGTAGAACACATCTGCAGTCAGTGTTTGCAGCTCAAGGAACTTTGCATCTGAATTGTGGAACTGGAATCTGAGCTACAGACATTATGCCACACTTGGGAAATGCGGAGGATCATTAACCCTTTTCCTGCTCTGCTCAGTGTTCTGTCTGACAGTGGACACAGCAGTGACTTTGGCACCTATTGCAGTCCTGGCTGGCTGGGTCAGGTCATGTGGCTTCCTTCATCAGTCTACAGGATAAAGCACTGCCCTCCTCTGCACTACCCTTCCAGAAGCACCCCCAGTTCCCTGGTAGGGAAGTAAGGGGCTAATATCTGTGTCACAGTGCTAACGGTACACAGCTCTGTTGTGGGAGACAGTTCCTGCCGTGCAGTGCCTGAAGTCGTGTGCTGCTGCACTTTTAATACAGTGCCAGTGGCGTGAATGCCAGGAGGTCCCAGCAGCAGCCACTCTGCTACCCCTCCAGCTGCACAATTCCATTAGGCGGGCACTGTGCAGCCCAGATGCACACTTAATGAGGCAAATTGTGGAAGATGGGGTGCAAAAAGCTGCTGTTAGCCACAGCGGACTGGGTACCATCAATCTCACTTTTCAAAACGCACTAAATCAAAATGCTTTAAAAGTCTCTTGGGCAAATGCAGGTTAATTAAGGAAAGGGAGGCAGATTTGTTAAGGACAAGTCATGTTTAACGAACTTGCCTGCATTTTTTAATGAGGTAACAACAAGGCCGATGAGTACAATGCTCTCGACGTGGTGCATGGACTTCAAAGCATTTAATAAAGTGCCACACAACAGATTTGTGAGCAAAGTTGCAGCTCATGGGATAACAAACTGTAGCAACATGGATTAAAAAACTGGTCACGTGACAGATGTTAAGTTTTCTTGTGGTAGTTGCTGTCATTTCTTGCGAGTATGTAAATAAGACAAAGGGCAAAAAGGGATTATACAACTTGTAGAAGAATTCTTAAGTGATTTACTGAGTAAGAAATGATACGTGTTTCCTTTACGTGATAAAAATCATTTTAGAGTTAGAATATGACTAATAGCTGATGTTCCTCATGGCGGATTTTTTTTTCTCTCAAATACTGAGTCCGAAATAGAACAAAGCAAATGAACAGAATATTTCTCTATATGGTAACAGTATGTGCTCTGGGAGTACAGTGTATGACAAGCAACAAAAAAATACCTGGCACAGATTATGAATTACACTGCATCAACTAACAGTGAAATTGTTTCCATATATGGTCAGAGTTTTACTGCCAGTTCAGAGGCCAATCTCTCCAACCCCCTTGAGCTACTCAGCTTCCTTCAGAATGTAAAAGCATCGATGTTACAAGCAATCTCGCTGGAGGGCAGTGTATATTAACATTAGACGTATATTTACTGTATCTTGTAATGTGACCATGATTGAACAGATAGTGTTCGTTAAAATGTCACAAGTTATTACAGATGAAATAATTCTAAACCAGAAAAATGACTTTTAAAAAGCAAAAGAACATCAGTCACCTCCTGTTTTCTATCCCCATTTCTCTCACCTTACTCAGCTGGCTTCTCTCTGAAACCTGAAGCAGGGCTCTTAGATGCAGCTAGTGATCTCCAGAAACATCCCTCTGCAATTAGCTTTTAATTGACCTCAAGACATGCATATTTTGATCACTTCCCTTGTATGTATCTGAAGTTAACTACAACTCACTTTCACAGCTAAAAATCACACCCATAGTTAAGTCTAAAGACCACCATTACAGATTACCTAAAACAATGCATCCTAAGATTCAGAGATATTTTAGGAAAACTTGCAAACTAATCCTACTATGTTTTCCCATGGACTCTTCCCCTCTGAAAATCCATCTTTTTTGCAATATGAATCATATGGATGTTATATCCAGGGAGAAATGCTAATTAGCCATTCTATAGACTCAAACTTCATTCTATCATGGAATTAATTAGACAATTTGAACAATGGCCCTTCACAAAACCTGACATTAATTACACACCCTGTAACTTAAAGATATCCTGTCTATCCACCATCTGCACAGTTGCTTCCACCAATAGTTTTGAGGTGCAGAAGGATTTAGGTGTTCTGGTGCATAAGTCACAAAGGTCAGTATGCAGGTTGATCATCTAACCAAGAAGGTTAATGGAAAGCTAGCCTTTATTGCAAGTGGAATTGAATATAAAATTAAGGATGTCAAGCTTCAGTTATGGATGACATTATTAATACCACAATGATGGAAGGTGTGTAATTTACGTATCTTTTAATATCATGTATTTTAGATTTGGATTTTGAACTAGTGGCATGTGAGTTTTGACCTATTTATATGTGAGGTTTTAATAATTATGGCGGCACGGTGGCTCAGTGGTTAGCACTGCTGTCTCACAGCGCCAGGGATCCGGATTTGATTCCAGCCTTGGGCGACTGTTTGCGTGGAGTTTGCACATTCTCCCTGTGTCTGTGTGGGTTTCCTCCGGGTGCTCCGGTTTCCTCCCACAGTCCAAAAGATATGCAGGCTAGGTGGATTGGCTATGCTAAATTGCCTGTAGTGTTCAGGGATGTTTAGGTTAGGTGGGTTAGACAAGGTAAATGCGGGAGCATTGTGTCTGGGTGGGGTGCTCTTTGGAGGGGTGGTGTGGACTTTTTGGGCCGAATGGCCTGTTTCCACACTATAGGGATTCTATGAATTCTACGTCAGTATTTCTGGAGCCATGATTTTTTAAAACCAGTATGTGAGAGAAAGTCTTTGGGGTGATGGGAAATTGTTTGCATGTGAGAGTTTTACAATTAGACAGAAAAGAAACATAGAAACAGACCTTAAGCTCTAGAACTGCTTGGTAAACCTCTAATCCCTGTCTCCTCCTTTAAGGCCAGCCTTAAAGCCCAGTTTTGTGAACAAACATGTAGTCATCCATCCTTGTACTTCTTCTTTACTTCTGCATTGGCTCATGTCTGATCACCTTTCTCTGAAGTGAATTGTGTTTTTTTAAGGTACATGCACTTGTTCTTGTATTTTTCTGTAAGATGGAGAGATGTTACTACTCTAGTACATCTATATATTGGATCTTGAACCCAAGGTGCACTACAATGGAAGGTTTGAAAATGAGTTCAGTGGCAGAGCAATTAGAATAAAAACGTCATCCTGTCGATGCACTGG